GGGGAACTCTGCAAAAAACGCATCTTCGCACGGGCAGCCCGTGCGCTGGCCAATTTTTTGCATTGCATTGCTGAAAAAAACGCATAAAAAGTGAAACTAAGACAAAAATAATTACAACGGAATGTTCCAGAATCAAAATATGTGTTCTTCCACAAGTGTTGTGAAACAGGGGAATGCCTATAAATTTTATGGAAAATAAAAAAATTAAAATGCGGTACCACGTGCATATGTGCTTACGAGAGTTGCGAAATTCGTGATCAATACCAGAGAACTAAAATCCGAGATATCGGCAAGTTCGAGCGTTCGCGCCAACGATGCAAATCGTTCAGCACAAAAACTATAACAAACTATAGTACTGCGTGCGAAAGCTTTCAAAAGGCAGATTAAAATTTGGTAAGAGAAATGACACTAGCTCTGTGGGCAAAATGAACAAGGAGCTGGAAGCCTTAATCAAACTGAATAACATATTGTAGCATTACCCAAATGATACCATGAGCCAAAATCTCGAAATCTTAGGCAAAATCGAGAGAGCTATTTTACAGAAGCATACATTTAAACTCGAAAACAAACCCTCCTCGTCCCTTCACTCCCCGAACAGAAGTTCAACATTAAAGTATAAGGGGATGAAAGGACGGGAAGCGGGGCCGCGGAGAAGAGGGAAAAAGAGGAAGGGGACGTAAACAAAAATTTTTTAGAACAGTTTCGAAAACACAAAGCACTAACTTCCCCCAAAACTGATTAAAAATATCGGACATAGAATGATTATTCGTTGCTCATTAACTACCCGTAATCGAGATCCCCTAATTTTCTCTTTTCCGAAATATGTTAAAGCAATTTCAATAGAATGAATATGCCCATACCGAAGAGGTCTCCGTTCAATGTGCATTAAATCGCTGATATCTCGAAGGAACGCGGCCGGACTTTCAAATAAAACCGTTTTTGTTCGCATTCGATGTTTGAGGTATTCATTGAATCGCCGAAGGAAAGCAATGAAATGTTGAGCTGTTCGTATCGATCCTGGTACCGCTTCCTTCAGAATCATATCGGGGAGTACTGAAAACTTGCACAGTTCAAATTAGTGCAGTCGCCGCGTCTAAATCGATGAATCCGAATTCAATTCAAATATTCAAAATGGAATATTCTTTAAAAATTCCGCTAAAAACTGATAAAAAATTGCTTTAAATTCCGCGGCTTTTTTTCTGAAACTCTTAATAATGAAAATTTTAAAAAAATAAATGACCAGGATTTGCCAGAACTCGATCGGTGATGCGCTCCTCCTCAACACGTTTCAGATCCTCAATCATTCGATCGTATTCGGTCTTCAATCTTTCACTGTTTTCATTTTTTAACCTGAAAGACAAATTTAACAAAAAAATTTCAATCAAGCAAAAAAAAGTGCGCAAAATATGTGCTGAATTTTGATGCATTATTACTTGTAATTATCAATTATCTATTTCATCAAATCTTACCTCTGTACATACTCCTCAAGAACGCTTAACTTTTGGGTTACTTTCTCGACAGTTGTTTTCGTCAATGAAACACTCATCGATTCAATACAAACGTTATCTAAACTTTGCAGAAATTACCAGCATGAAGTAAAAATGCTTTTTTGCGATTTTAAAAGAGGATGCAGAAATAACAATCCATAATCAGAACGCACTGACTTACTGATCTGTAAAATTCATTTTAGAATTCAGTAACTCAAGATTCAGTAACCGTTTAACTTACGATTTTTCTAACTAAGTTTTGAAACCAAAAAAACTCGAAGCCGTTCCACATTTACTCTCTGTGGGAAACGGGTGTCTCAGTGGTAGCAAATAGAAACAGCAAACGCTTAGTTTGTTGACAAGACTGCCGACCGCTTCCTTTTTCCGAAGTTGCTCATAGGCAAGCTGCTTACGGGGTTCGATCCCCTGGCTAACTTTCATTAGCTTTAAATTCACAAATTTGTAAAAATTTCAACAAATTTCAGAATTAATCCTCCCTTCACCTCCCTTCTTAGCCCGCCCAGTGCTTTTACGGTTACCAGTTGCCTAAAAATCTCAAAATTGGCAGTGTAAGAAATCTTACCAATGTTATGCGCTTCATCAAAAACAACACAAGCATGACGGCTGAAATTTTTCGAGACCAATTCGGCAATTTTCGGATCCAAAATATAGTGGTAAGAATAGACGACAATCTGAGCGCGATCAACGACATTGCGTGACAAGAAGTACGGGCAAATACCCCGTTGCTTGCCTAACTTACGTAAATCTTGCTGCAAAATTGACAGACAATAATGAATCAGTAAAAATCGATTATCAATCAGTGAAAAATTAATTACCAATTGCCTATGAATCAGGTAATTAACAACTAATTATTACAATACAAGAGTCAATCAATTTTTTGAATTTCATTTTCCCCGAATTTTAATTTTTTTCTTCCATAGAACAAGCGTAAAGTGAATGAATGCAAACAACCTAAATGTGTATTAAATGGGAGAATCAAGGAAAGAAAGGGGAGAATGATGGAAATAAAGGAGGGTGAGCTGAAATCGGGGAAGCAAAGGGGTTTTGGCCCATTAATTTATGAATGTCGTAACTTGGTGCCGCAACCGGATCTGATCAAAAAAAAAACTATTCACATATGCTTTTTTATGAAAAAATGTCACTGACTCAACAAAACATATTCATTACCATTGGCGGACCCAGCCTTCTCCCCCCCCCCCTTCTCTCCCCTTAACGGACCGCATGAACCTGCCTACGATCACTATTCTAAGGGCGTAATTAACATAACCGCTCACGGAACCACGTGAATACAAACAACATGAAGACTACATATTGACTAAGTACCCACAGAATTATTTAATCACGCGTCAATGGCTACCTTTTTTCGCGAGCAAGCTGATGGAGGGTTTGACTCCCCGGCCACTAGAAATGAGAAAACTATAAAAATCATTCAAAATTTCAACAAATCTTTTACTTTTAAAATAAAAAGAGCGAATAAAAGAGTATAATTTAACTTAAATGAACTTACTAAATTATAAACGCCATCTGGATAGTTTATATCTTTTTGCTCCTCCAATTTCTCAAAGAATGGGCAGCAAGGTATATCCGAACAGACTTTTCGCTTTGCACGAACAAAACTTGCTGTTAATCTGAAACAGAAAATCATAAAAACAGTATATGATTAGGCATTATGATCAGATGCAGTTGCAGTTGTTCACAGTATCGTTCGATAACTAAGTCGCTCTGACTAATGCTGCATAGGTTGGTGGTCATCTGCTCTCGATCCCAGCCTTCCAAGAAGAATAGTTTGTTAAGAATTTGGCCGTTTCGAGATGTCACTGGTGTGTGTGTGTTGAGTATTACCACCTGGTTTAGAATGTCCCGGTTTAGGACGTCACTCCCAAACTGGAATGATCTTATCGACTACGAAATTCATAAATTAACAATTGGATAATTATATATGGCCTGACTAATTCTGCTGAAATTAAAAAACAATGAACTTGATGGAAAGAAACTAAGGTTTCTGAGTAACACTGTCCATTGCTTGGATGACAGGTAACCCGAGTAAACACCTGTTTATCTTGGTAAAGCAAAAATAAATAACAACGCGCACCAGACTAGCCGGTGTGATCATGCTTTTTGTGCAATTCAGCCCATCGAACGACTGCCTATTAATGATTTTCACTGCTTTGTACTTTTGTCT